GTTTAGTGTTATAGTGACTCTTGTCGGTATTAGTGGATGTCGGTGGAAAAACATTAACTGTTATTTATTAAACAATACAAGCAATCAATTTGATTTATATATATGGGGAAGTAACATCACAGTAGGCTCAGAAAAAAAAATTATAAAATTATAAAAAATAAAATATTTTAATTTTTAAAATGTATAATTTAACACTTCAAATTTATTATTAAAGTTAAATATCTCAATTTTATAAGTGAAATTGACGCATAATATAATTAATTTATATCAATCTCAATAATTTAAAATGTTTATCCCATATGACAAATTAAGAAAAATATACATATAAAAAATTAGATCGATAATACACAAGTAGTTAATGATTAAATCACGTATATATTATAATAAATGAATGATCTATAATTAAAACATGTATATCGTATACATAAAAATAATCTAATAGTATGACAAAAAATGTTGGATCTTCTTAATTTTTTATAAGAGAGTAATGATATATAAATAAAAAATTCATACAGAATTTTTATACATAATGATGTGATTAAATGTGTACCATTCAAATAAAATATAATAGTCATAAAGATGATATTTATTTACCAATATGATGTTGCTATATCATTTTTATAATAATTTTTGTATGAATTTTTATATGGATACAATTTCTCCTTACATAAATAATCTTCTTAATTGATTATATGAGATGAACAATTTAAATTATTGAAGTAAGGCCATATTAATTCCATAATGAGTCAATTTTACTGATAAATTTTAAAAAATTCATACTCATATTTCAATTTGTGTTCAACTTATTATTCTCAAATTCTTGCTTGATCAATGCATTGTCATCAACGTTGTTCAGTAACTCTAGTTGGCAATAGAAGTTAGTTTATTATGAAAAAATTTATTAGAAAATTTTTGCACCTCAATTAATTTATAAGATATTCTTATATTTTAATACATCTTATTATTTTAAATATTTGATTTACAAAATTTTAATTATCTTATTTAAGTTATTTTATGAACAATTTTATTGCTATAAATATTTTTTAAACATTTAGCAACTTATTATGCAGTATTATAAACATTTACATTAAATAAATTTAACAGTGAATGTTCACATTGATAGTGTGAATGTGAACATTAATTCATAATTCTCTCCCTATCTACTTATATTTCACTTAATTCAAATTATTTTTTTATATTTCAATAAACTTTATGAGTAACATAATTACTAAAATATCCTTAATAATGATAGAATGAAACACGAATTAATATTCACATTGGCAGTGTAAATGTTCTGTAATGCGAACATTCACATTGTCAAATATGAATGTTCACATAAATAAATTGTTAAGGATTGAAAAAATATTTATAAGGATAAAATAATTTGTAAAATACCTTAAATATCTAAATAATATGACTTATTAAATATAAAAATATGTAATAAATTAATTAAGATATAAGTAGTTGAATGAGAATTTCACAATAAATTATTCTATTTAAATTGTATATGTAAATACGATGGTACTCAGTGGCGGAGTTAGAAAATTAAATTAGAGGGGACACTTATTAATTACGATATCAAAAATTTTTACAAAAATATTTCAACAAGTTTTTACGACTGATTTCAAGAAACATCAAAAAAATAATATTATTTATAACTAGTATATCATAGACAATATAAAAACAATATGGATACAAGTCTTAAAATAAATTATATAGGGTTCATTTGGGAAATGGATTCATTTTTGACTTTTTGGCTATTTTAGTCTGTGGCTAAAAAGTCTCGTTTGGGAATGACTTTTTGACTTTTTGTGAGAGAAAGAATGTAATGATTATAGGTTAGATGTGATGTCTCGTTTATGAAGGACTTTTTGACTTTTTGTAATAAACTTTATGAGTAACATAATTACTAAAATATCCTTAATAATGATAGAATGAAACACGAATTAATATTCACATTGGCAGTGTAAATGTTCTGTAATGCGAACATTCACATTGTCAAATATGAATGTTCACATAAATAAATTGTTAAGGATTGAAAAAATATTTATAAGGATAAAATAATTTGTAAAATACCTTAAATATCTAAATAATATGACTTATTAAATATAAAAATATGTAATAAATTAATTAAGATATAAGTAGTTGAATGAGAATTTCACAATAAATTATTCTATTTAAATTGTATATGTAAATACGATGGTACTCAGTGGCGGAGTTAGAAAATTAAATTAGAGGGGACACTTATTAATTACAATATCAAATTTTTTTACAAAAATATTTCAACAAGTTTTTACGATTGATTTCAAGAAACATCCAAAAAATAATATTATTTATAACTAGTGTATCATGGACAATATAAAAAAAAATATGGATACAAGTCTTAAAATAAATTATATAGGGTTCATTTGGGAAATGGGTTAATTTTTGGCTTTTTGGCTATTTTAGTATGTGGCTAAAAAGGTGTTGTTTGGTGTAACTGTTAAAATAGATTATAGATTATAACTTAACAGATTATAGATTATGACTTTAATCAGAAACTGTTAATCTGTTTGGTATAGCTGTTGGATTATAGATTTAAGTTGCTGTGTAGTGTTTGTTAAATAAGCTATGAAGTAGCTTTTTCAATTAATTTTTATTTTTTATTATTCACTATTTGTCTACATTTTTCATAAATAATAATAATATTTCATAGTCCATTTGGATCTTTTTCTATTTTTAAAAAAATAAAAAAATCTAAGAGTATAACCGTGAATTAATATGTCCACAGCAGAAGCTGATAATCAGAAGCATGGGATGAACAGCTTCTCAGAATTAGTTTTTTTGACTTAAAATAAGTTGTTAGAATCAGAAGCTGTTTGAAATAAGTTTAACAAAACAGTCCAAAATAACTTTTTAAAAGTCAGAAGCCATAAGCTGGCTCAAAAAAGCCCCACCAAATACCCCCAAAGTCTCATTTGGGAAGGACTTTTTGACTTTTTGTGAGAGAAAGAATGTAATGGTTATAGGTTAGATGCGATGTCTCGTTTGGGAAGGACTTTTTGACTTTTTGTGAGAGAAAGAATGTAATGATTATAGGTTAGATGTGATGTTTTGTCTTATTAGGTTAAAAAATTAATTTTGTCTTTTTGTGATTATTTTAGCCAAAAAAACCCCAACCTCAACTTCCAAAACAAAGGCATAATGATAAATTATTTTTTTATACAAATTTTATTAAAAATTTAATATAATGGTAATACTACGACATCATTGATATGTGATATCATCCACTAATAGTAAATAAATATATAGAAAGTGAATCTCACATGCAAAATGTAACTAACAATCTAATAAATTTCATATCTTTATAGTAAGATTAATTATACTTGCATGTCATTAATAATGACATCACCGTTACATTCAAAAAAAATTATAGATAATATAATTTATAGTAGTCTCTTCATTTTCAATTAAAGCAACCATTATTGTTCTCATAATTTTTAAAATGTCATTCACTTTGTTTGATTGTTATTTTTCAAACTCAATTTTATGAAAATTTTAGAGTACTTGTTTGGTTATTCAAAAAACTAAACATACGTTTCAAAAATACATTATTGCAAATTGAATTTCTCTCCAATTTAAGGAGAGAGACAATTTTGGAAAAGAAAAATTATCACATCAAAATATACTCTCATCATAGTTATATATATATATAAATATATATATATATATATATGCGTGTGTACATGTTATATATGTATAAAGATATAATTTGGTGTGTAGTCATTTATGAGTACATATTCTACTATTAAATGTGTGATTTTATCATAAAATTTTCACTCAATTCAACCACAGAAAAAGTAATTTTTTTACAAATTGGCATTAAAAAAAAAATGTAACTAACTTACAAACTTTTGCAACATGAAGTACAAAAATTTTGGATATTTTGTTATGCTAATTTTAGATAATGTTACACGTTTGTGTTAATATTACGATATTGTGTGATAAAATAAATTTTCTGAATTATGAAAATTTAACTCTACATAAGAAATTTTTTAATGCCAATTTGGAAAAAAAAAATTACGACCTTGTTTGGTTTGTTTTTTAGAAAAATTTTTGGAAAAAATTCTCTACAAACAAATTTTCAAATGTAATTAAACCAAACAAATTTTTCTAAAAAAAATCTCAAAATTTTGTTTAGTTACCTCCTTTCCAAAATCACTCTCTCATACACATCAAATCAATCACTTTTTTTTTTAAATTCTCTCCTCAAAACAATTTTCCAAAACTATTTCTGAAAAAAGGCAAACCAAACAAGTTTTCATACCTTTTATCTCAAAAATTACTCTACAAACACAAACTAAACACAGCCTACGTTTTTTGTAGTTGAAATGAGTGAAAATTTTATGATAAAATCATATAGTTAATGGTAGAATATATACTCATAAATGGCTACGTACCCATAAATGGCTATGTACTAAATTATATTTATATACATATATAGCATCCATGTACATATATATATATATATATATATATAACTAATATTAGAATAATTTTTGATGTAACAAAAAAAAAACCCCACATTAGGATGATTTGAAGACTGTTGAAGGAAAACTTAAAATTGCAATGGTACATTTTTTTTTGAAAACCAAACAAAGATCTTTTTTTTAAATAGAGATTTCAAATCACTTTTTAAAAAAATTATTTTAAAAAATGAAACCAAACATAATAATTCACATTTCATTCTAATAATATTTTTATAAATTTTTTTATTTAAAACATCTTCTTTAAAAAAAAAAAATTCCAAAATTCAGAAAACACGTGACCCTGGTCCTATACTCTCCTCCGCCACTGATGGTACTCACGAACTCAGTAAAATTATACTCATTCAATGTCATCTTCATTAGACATCATCACACACGGCGCACGTTAGATTAAAGCAAAAGCTATGTGGGTCCAATCCAAAAGGCGAAGTGATGAATAAGTCTACAACAAGCTGTCTATAAATGTACACATTTATCTCCCATCTCTTCATACACACTTCAGCAATAGCCATTTCAACTGTCCATAAAATTAAAAAAAAAAAAAATGGCAAGAGCAATCCTCCCATTTCTTGCACTAATCTCCTCTCTCTTGTACATTGCCGGCACGGCCGAGTCCGCTGCCTCGACAAGCTTCATCAAGGCCTCGTGCAAGGCCACTGACTACCCCGCGGTGTGCGTCGAGTCTCTCTCAGCCTATGCTACCTCCATCCAACAAAGCCCGCGCCAATTGGCCCAGATCGCCCTGTCCGTGAGCCTAGCCAAGGCCGAGTCCATGAAGGCATTTGTGACAAAGCTAACCAAGTTCAAGGGACTCAAGGCTAGAGAGTACCAAGCCATCAAGGATTGTTTGGAAGAGGTAAGTGATAGCGTCGACCGGGTTAGCAAATCGGTTCGAGAGCTTAAGTACATGGGCAATGGAAAGGGCAAGGGTAAGGACTTTTTGTGGCACATGAGTAATGTGGAGACTTGGGTTAGTGCTGCACTTACTGATGACAATACTTGCTTGGACGGGTTTTCGGGCCGGGCTTTGGATGGTAATGTTAAGGCATCAATTAAGGCCCGAGTCACTAATGTTGCACAAGTCACTAGTAATGCACTAGCTTTGGTTAATCAGTTTGCTTCCAAGTATTAGGCCAAGGAAATCAATGATGTATATATGTTTAATGAAGTTTTATGTGCTAAACGTGGCTTGTAAGACATATATATTTATCAGTTTTTGAAGCTACAAGTTATGTCTAATTTTGCAGAAATAGTCCAATCAAAATAAAGTAGAGGCTTTGTTTGTCCACTTATGCTTTTTTTTTTTGTTTTTTTGGTCCCTATAAAACTTGTCCAACTCGTCTCTCTAAATCACTCTATCTTGATTAATATATTTGAAAAGCTTTTTCATTCATTGTCAATTAATTTTAAATTAATATTTTAATATAATATCAAAGTTGGTTCTTGAATGGTCTCTAGTGGGTCAAGTGGGCCTAGTTTATGTCCGATATCTAATTTCTCACCTCTTGTCTATTCGGGTGTTGTCAATTGATTTTGAGTTGGATAAATTAATACTCCCAATTTTGAGAATAGGGGTTTACACTACCACAAAACTCATTTTTAACAACTTAAAATGCACGCCGTAGATATGATTTTATGACGCGTAACGTAAAGTCATGTTGTGACATGTCATAAAAAGTTATTCACTTTAACAGTATATCGTAGAAAGTTTCATCATTTACGACTAACATTATAACCCATAAAAAAATTATCATTATAAACATTTGTTAGATTTATTTATTTTGATAATTTATTTAATTCTGTTTTTGATTTATTTGAAAGAGAAAAATAGATTGAAAACTTATTTTATTCCATTATATTTCATCTAATTTCTTATCCTAAATATATTTTTGGAGTATATAAATTTGCTTAATCAGGAGATAATTTTAGCCCAAAACAGAGTCCAAATCAGCCCAGTACACCAGTAGTTCAAGCAGCGTTCAAACAGTCCAGTACAACAGTCACCAGACGTCCAGGTGGACATCCGGCTGGACTACCGGCCAACGGCTTTTTGCCCAGTTTTGCTTTAGCTCAAATTTTCTTTTCATCGGTTGTCTACCCAGTAGTATCCTCAACATCCGCGGAAGCCATCCTTGATGATCGGGCGAACATCTGGATGGACGTCCCTCTAGAACAAAATTTCATTTTGGACATCCAATGGACGACCACTTTGTTCTGCAACGACTATTTTTCAAATAGAACTGTCATCTATCAGACCTATGCTTTGCCTCTTTCAAGATCTAATCAGTAATGGGGGAATGCATCATTTTGAGTAGATCACTCAATCTTTTTCAATACACGTAACAGTCAGTGGCTCCATAATCTTCTCATTGATAAATAGTAGAGCTTTTGTTGAACAAGATAGAGAAAAAAATACAAGCAAGAAAACATTCTCTGATCAATCATCACTCTCATATTTTATCTATTCTCTAAGAAGTGTTCTTTATTTTTGGTTTACATTTTCTTTCAAAAATTATACACTGAGCCTTATAACTTTAAGATCATCTTACCTGTGTGAGGTTTACAGAAAAATCAGAGTTTCATCTTATATATCTATCTTTGAGAGATAATTCTTGTAGCTTTCTTTGAAAGCAAAAATATCTTCATTTCAACCTTGTAAGAGTGTAATACACTCAGTGTTCTTGATTTTTTGAGGGTGATTGAAAATCAGCTAAAAAAGGCAAGGGTTTGGACTTAGAAAGTCTGTGTAAAATCTGTAAAGGATTGCTCAATTTGTGAAGAGGTTGCTAGCACCCTGTGAAGCTAGAGTATAGTGGAAAATCTCAAGTATAACTTAAGGAGTGGATGTAGGCTTGGTTAAAGCCGAACCACTATAAAATCCGATTGTCTCTCTCTCTCTCTCTCTCTCTCTCTCTCTCTCTCTCTCTCTCTCTCTCTCTTATCTTTTTATTTTGTTTAATTGTCATAGCTATATCTCACATTTTCACTGTGCCAAATTCATTAACTGATATAGTTGTTAGAACACTTGTTTTAATCATCTTTGTTTCATTAGCTATGTTTATCTGTTGTGCTAGTTATAATTTTTATTGGGGCATTATTATTTTTATTTGTAAAAACCTAATTCACCCCATCTTAGGTTATCTTTTGGGTAACAACATTAATAGCGTTGGAAATTGACATGCCGTTATTAAGATATTATTTATGACATGCAAAAAAAGAAAGTTATAAAAATCCAATTTTGTCGTAGTGTTAATTCCTTGATATTTTAGAACTCATATTTAATTAGCTTAAATTTTTGAAATTGTTAGTGACTTTAACATAGTTTGGAAAAGACTTTCTTTAAGTCTCTTTGTTTGAATTTGTTACTTAAGAGGGCTACTATGTGTTCAAACCATTTTTGTTATTAACAATTTGATATTTATTATTATTATTTAAAAAAAAAAAATCTTGAATGATGCTTATAAACACCTCATTTTTGACTAGTCTTGAGACTTAGACACTCCCTTTTGAGTTCCCGATGATGAAAACGAGAGGTGTTAATCTTTATAAGTTCCATGACAGGAGTTCTAAGGATCAAGCTTTAAACCCTCGAATGACCTATTTTGGACAAAATATTTTTTGACCAAAATGGAAACCTCTTTCAAAATGAGTTTTAGTGGTGCAACTTTAGACATTACTGCAATGTTCTGAGGCTCATGTCTTCAAAATCAAAATGTTGTACTCTTTCAGACAAACTAAGCTAAGAATATAGTGGATGTAAATGGAAATGATGAAATCATTTGAAATACATGCTTTTCCTTTCAATTCAGACTAACCAACTTTTGTTGATCTAACGATGTGCCCATTGGCTACCCGGACACCATATGATGGCCAACCACAAAATCACTCAGCCGATCACTAGGAAGCTTGGCCGGTTGAATGTTCCGGGTACAGAGTATTTTCGGGGAATTCAACTTGTTTTGCTTACCAACCACAAATATCGAACCGGAGCTCTATATATAGAGCTCACTAGCTCTTTTCAAAGGGTTAGAAAAACTTACCCAAAGGATAGAAAAGCTTGAGAGCTTTCTCTCTTTCCTTCCTTGCTTCCCACCTACTACCTTTAACCTTAATACTAAATTCTCCATTAAAGCTTGATCCTAACTTTTGGACAAAGGACTTTTGGACATTAAAGAGTGCACCTAAGAGTTCTAGTGCACCTAAGAGTTCTTGAGGGACCTTAAAGAGAGTTTGTGAACAAAAAGAACTCATCCTCATAAAGGGATGAATCCTTTGCTTCTTTGATCATCCCCTTCAATTTTTCCTTTGGCTTTAACTTTATTCTCCATTATGTGATTGTTGTACGTCCTCATGGATGTGGAGGGAGTAACCATAGCCATCCATCCATTGAGTTGATAGTCATTTCTCTACTTTATTACTTTCCTTAGCTTTAAGTTAATAGTTGTTATATGTTTTTGGATCCTTTTGGATAAGATTGAGAGTAATTTTAGCCATCCATTCACAAGTTCAATAAGTATGGTAGCTGTTCTTATTATTACACTCCTTATCCTCACTTATTCCTATCTTTCAAGTGTGTCAATCCATGTGGTTTAACTACTTACTCCATTACCATGAGTGCTAGGGGTTGTTCCATGGGATTGCTTGGGTGATCTATGGGATTTGATGTGGACAAGCAGTGACTCCCTTTTCCCATTGAATTTTTGGAAGTAAAACAAGAGATTTCGGGTTAAAGAAAGTTGAAAACTCCATTCTCAATCATTTGTGAACATAGAAAGGGATGTTATCATCCTTATTCCATGACTAGATGAGGAGTTTTTCGATGAATTTGATGAATCTTTTATTTTAATAGGCAATGCTTCTACCAAGAAATGATTTTCATTAACATACGCTCTCCACTTAATAGCATGGATTTGGGTATTACTTTATCCTTATTCATAAAGAGAAGATGTAGGTTCCTATTCCTTTCTTGGGCTTGAATTTGTTCTTGATTTTGATCCATTTAATCATTGATTTAGTGCAAAATATCTGTTGTATATACCTGTTTTACCATTGTTGAGGGTTTTGGCCTATCCGTCTCTTCCCCGAGTGATCTTTGTCAACAGATAAGGCAGAGGGATTGAGCATCTCCCAGAATGTGCCCTTTTAGCCTCTATCTTGGAATTCTGCACTGACCTATTCCCTAGCCGGAGGAGGAATTTGGTTGGCCACTTTCTTGTATGGCTGACTCACTTTGTGTCTGGCCGATCATCTCCCTCAAGAACAAAACAGCCAGAGGAGGATGATCGTGGATCCGACGATGACCACGTCAACTGTAGTAGCAGTAGTAGATACAACAGCATGAGCGAGAGAAGGGTTAGATCGACTCTTCTTATGCAACTTTGCGGATTGGTCAATCAAACGCTTGCTAGACCTTTGTTCAAAAGACGGCGGGGTAAGGCTCCCAGCCGTGATGGTTGTGAGAACCCAAATATATAAATAAAATAAATAATTAAATAATAATTATTTTACAAACCTCAAATATTTTACTTGTGAAAATTAAGGTGCAAATTAAATATTACTGAACAATCTTTTAATTAATTTTAAAACCTAAAATAAATTTATGGTGAAAGTCTTTAATTTGGAAGTAAGATTTTTTATTAAAAAAATAATAATAATATAAAACAAAGGATAATTATTTAGAGTTTTGTTTATATATATATATATATATAGAGCAACCCTAGTTTTCCTAACAAAAACCCTAACTCTTATTATAATTGTTTTGCACAACACTTTCAACATATAGCAGTCGAGAGAGAGAGAGAGGTAGAGAAAGAAATTTCCAACAAGTTTGTGGCTCAACAACTCTAAGGTAACAATCAATTTATTCTTCTTCTATTATAGTTTGTTGTTTACATAGTTATGGTGCATGTGGGTGTTGTGAGTTGCTGGAAGAAAAAGGAAAGGTTTGGATGATTGGGGTAAGTGTTTTGTGTATATTATTATCATGCAAAATTTTAAAGCGAATTAAGGAGTTAAAGTTGTTGGATAAGAATTCTGCACAAAATCATAAACTTTAAAAATTGAGGAATCATATCAAACGGATGAATTTTGGACTGGAATTTTTGTAGTAGATTAATTACATATTGAATTGTATATCAGAATTTTCTCATAATTTTTGGGAGTCAAAATCTATATAAACTGATGCGTTCAAATTTGTCCAGAAAACTTGTGTAAAACAGTAACTTCGAAAGTGTTGTCTCTTTGGGTATAAATTTGAAAATTATCAAATCAGCATCATTAGAACCGGTT